AAAGAAAGAAAGAAAGAAAGAAAGAAAGAAAGAAAGAAAACAAAAAAGAAAACTTCACTATAGACAAGTCATCAGAACTGCTGTCTGGTGTGTACTCCTGCCCAGCCCCTCCACATCCTGGCTATAGCCTCTGGCCTCTGCTGTGCCCCATGCAGATCTGTCTCCTGTAGATCTGAGATCCCACACAATGCTGCTCCCTACATTCCTCATCCACAAAACTTAACTCCTACAGTACACCAACTGTAGCAGTCTAGGAAATATCAGACAAATATCAGTCAGCAGGGTCTGGATGGCACTAAGTTTCCACCAGGAATATGTGCCTTTGAGATGGCAGCCCAGCTTCTTACTGCATCCACAAATAGACATAGAACGCATTTTCAGTATCAAGCAGGTTATGTTAGGCTCCAGAGAGTGGCACTCCCTGGCTCAGAACTGGGCACCTCTGCAAGTGTCCAGGCTGAGCTGTGTCCTATGCCCTGTGTGATCCACATCCTGTTGCCCCCAGGACCTGGCTCTTCCTCCAGTCAAAACATGGAGACCCTGGAGATGGCCACCTCCCAGTTGACCACAAACACTTCTCTGGACACCGTGGTGCAGTGTGACCAGGAGACTGTGCTGGAGAACACCCTTTTTGCCTTTTTCTACCTGCTTCATTTTATCCTGGCCTTTGCTGGCAACACTCTGGCCCTGTGGCTCTTTGTGCGGGATCACAGAACTGACACCACTGCCAATGTGTTCCTAATGCATCTAGCCATGGCAGACCTGTCCTGTGTGCTGGTCGTGCCCACCCGCTTCATGTACCATTTCTCCGGGAGCCACTGGCCATTTGGCGAGGTACTTTGTCGTCTCACTGGCTTCCTATTCTACATCAACATGTATGCCAGCATCTACTTCCTCACCTGTATCAGCGTTGACCGCTTCCTGGCCATTGTGCACCCAGTCCGCTCTCTCAAGCTGCGCAGGCCTCTCTATGCCCACCTGGCCTGTGCATTCCTCTGGATGGTCGTGGCTGTGGCCATGGCCCCATTGCTGGTGAGCCCACAGACAGTGCAGACCAACCACACCGTTATCTGCCTGCAGCTCTACCGGGAGAAGGCCTCTCCCCACGCCCTTGTGTCCCTGGCAGTGGCCTTCACCTTCCCATTTGTTACTACAGTCACCTGCTACCTGCTGATCATCCGCAGCCTGCGGCTGGGGCCGCGCGTGGAAGCGCGGCTCAAGGGCAAGGCAATCCGCACGGTCGCAATGGTGCTGGCCATCTTCCTAGTCTGCTTTGTCCCCTACCACATCCACCGCACCATCTTCCTGCTGAGCCTGCACGGCCAGCCGACCTCCTGCACTGCCCAGCGCATCCTGGCCTTAGGCAACCGGATCACCTCCTGCCTCACCAGCCTCAATGGCGCTCTGGACCCCATCATGTACTTCTTTGTGGCTGAGAAGTTTCGTGACACTCTGTGCAATTTCCTCGGCAGCAAAAGGCTCATGGGCCGGCCAGTGAGCTTTGAAGGGAAAACTAACGAGAGTTCCCTGAGCGCCAAGTCAGAGCTGTGAGGTGAGGCCCACCAGAGCTCCCGGTGGACCAGGCCAAGTCCTTTCTGAGAAACAACACCTCCGCAAGGGTGCTGCCTGTGTTTGAGAAGTACGTTTCTTCTCTGGCTCTCCTTCAGAAACCAGCTGGTATCTCAGCCAGTTGCTCCACTTACTAATATGAGTCCAATCACCTCCAATGCCTAAACCTGTACAAGAGAGGACTGACTTGCTGGCCAGCTACCTCCTCTGTTGGACAGCATGTTAGCTTGCCCACTGTGTGCCAAGGATCACTATCTGTCCTTTCCCAAGCCCCTTGCCTGGCCCCAGCTTCCCACTCACAATAGAAATGCCCCTAAATGACAGAATGTGACCACAGAACAACCTTGGAGAGGTACAGAGGTGTGTCCTGTCAAGTGCAGACTGGTTTTCAGTTCTCTTTATGGTCCACTTTCCAGGCCACCATGACCTAACACAGTAAGACTACCTTTCCATTGGTCACTAGATCATCAGCTCATCGTTGGAATCCTGGTGCCTCCTGCTCTAGAGTCTCAAGACAGATCTCAAGAGGAATGCATGTGACCGGACAATCAGCAGTACTTCTTGACAGGTGCCAGTCTATCCCTTATCCTAGCCAAACACATTAGCCAGCAGATAGTCTGGTCTACAGACAGCTCTGGTGATTCCTGACCCAGGCAGGACCTAAAGGAATCATCCTTGACTCCTCTGGAGAGGTTGCTCCCAGAATCAACAGGCCATCACCCAGCAAGTCTTTCTGTGTACTTGTTATACGTTATCATAAGCATGACACAGCTGTCACTGTAATCGTATAAAGTGCACTGCCTGATATACATAATATCCTTCCCATCATTTTCTCACCTTTAACCAAGGGATGGTGAAGTGGTGGTAAAGGCAGTAGAAGTGGGGTGGTGTGGGTTGCACAAATTCTAGACTTATCTCATTTCCTTGATAGGCCACAGCACTATCCACAGTACAGTGGTCTTGGAGGTACCAGTCAAAGCCTAGGAGAGGATTTGACAAAGGACTCTCATTCACCACACACTTACTTCTCACAGCTTTTCAGGTGCTTTGGGACCCTCTCCATCAACCAGCAGGGCAGATGGTTCATATGCTCAGTGGTCCAGAAGTGGACAGGGCTTACCAATGACCTAGCTAATCAGAAGTGGGACTTGGGCACCAAGAGGAGTCAGCATCAGCCAGGCCCTGGGGACTGCCACCAGCATCATCAAGGAGGAACACTAGACAGGAGACATGTTGTTGTTGTAATGTGCCATCAAGTCACCTGCGACTCATACAACAGCTCAAAAGCCTGCCCTGTCCTGAGCCAGTCTCACTGACCCCAACGCACCTAATCCCATTACCCCAGTTATTGTGTCAATCCATCTCATCTGGGGTCTACCTTTCCTGCACTATCCCTCCACCTTCAAAGCATGATTTCCCTTTCCAAGGACCAGTCCCTCTTGGCCATGTGCCCAAAATACATGAGATGAAGCTTCAAAATCTTGTCTCCAAGGAGAAACTTGGTTTCACCCTCTCCAAGACTGACCTATTTGTTCTCCTGGCAGTCTATTCTTCTCCAGCACCACAACTCAATGGCATCAATTCTTCTTTTGTCATCCTTAGTCATTGTCCAGCTCTCTGATGCATAGCAAGTAATTGTGAAGACCATGGCCTGGATCAGGCACACCTTAGTCTCTAGAGTGATGTCATTGCTTCTCAGCACTCTGGAGAGGTCCCTGACAGCAGATTTTCTCAATGCAATTTGTCTTTTGATTTCCTGACTGATGGTGACAAGAGTGTTGATTGTGGAGCCAAGCAAGCAGAAATCTCTTCTTCATAGTTCCTGGTGCTGCCAATTGAACCTGTGGTAAGAATCTCTGTCTTCTTGATCTTTAGCTTCAATGCATAATGAAGACTACAGACCTTGACCTCTGCAGTAAACACTTCAGATCTTCCTCAGTTTTGGCAAGCAAGGTTGTGTTATATGCTTACGGCATGTTGTTGATAAGTTTTCCTCCAATCCTGATGTTACCCTCCTCATAAAATCCAGCCTCTCAAATGATCTATTCCACATATAGATTGAAAAGGTATGGAGACAGGACACATCCCTGACACACTCCTTTTCTGATTTTGAACCATGCAGTGTTTCCTCACTTTGTTCTGACAACTGCCTCCTGGTCCAAGTATAGGTTTTGCACAAGCAAAATGAAGTGTTCTGGAATTCCCATTCTTTTCAAGAATAGCAATAGAGGACAATAATGGCAGAAGAGGCCAAGGAGGGAGCAGACACCAGGGACTGAGAACTCCTACATCTCTAGTGTTGTAAGGAGCACAACAGAGTCTCCACTGTGGCAGAGACTGCTCCAAGGGACCTGACTGGCAGCACTGGGGTCAGAGCTCTTCATGGGCTCACTGTCAGCCACATGAAGGGATGGAAGAATAAATTTGATGTTTTCTAGGATGCTTAAAACCTAAGGACTCTGTTCTTAAGAGATGAGGATAAAATCTCAGTTACCTCAAAATTTAGAGATGTATGGAAGCCAATGGGGCCAAGAAGGAGACTGGGCAGAGGAAGAGGTGGGTCTGTATAGAAGCTGAGCAGGTCAGGGACTACTAGGATGCAATATAGGGCCATGGCCACAGACAGCAGAAGGCACAGGGAGAAGGTAGTGGTGCTGTGGGCTCTGAGGAGCCAGCACAAAGCAGAAGGTGTGAGTGTTTACACATGGATCTACCAGGTCTGGCTTTCTAGAAAGCAGCACACTGGAAGCAGTGGCAACTGAGGCACTAGGGGAGCTAAGCTTCAAGTCAGGAGGCAAAGGGAGGCTTGACGTGGGGAACTCCAAGCAGAGCTTTATCAAGTGGGAGAAGAAGTCATCTAATAAAGGAGGTGCAAGGGCAGAGAGCAGAAGTCTTCTTGGAAAGAGAGAAAGTAACTGTTAAGGAACCCTTAACACAATTCTTAACAACAGAAAGGCCAACAGTTGGGCAGCCTCCTCCCATAAAGATTTCTAACCTTAGAAACCCAGGGGAGGATTCTACGAGCCAGAACTGATGGCACAACAACGGGGTTTAGTCTCATTAAGCACTGAAGAATTTCTGCAAGCACAGTGGTGCTATCTGAAAGGTCACAGGTTAGAACTCCTCCTCCAGTCAGCAGGAGGATGGACTGTCTATCTTTGTGAAGATCTGAAGCCTGGAAACCCTCCCTAGGACAACTTCACACTGTTCTGTGAGGTTGCTCTGATTTGGTATCAACTCAGCAGCACCAGTTTTGTCTTTTGGTTTAAAGTGAGCCCTAATGCTAAGCTGAGTCTGGAGTGGACTTGGGAAACCATATTGGCAATTTCTCTCTGTAAGGGGCAAATGTGTCCTTGGGACCTGGCTATGTACCTTGCGCACAAGATGTCCCCAAAAAGAAAATTAAAAACAGTTGTCATACATCCTAAGACACTTACTCCACTGAAAACAGAAGCAAACCTTCCCATTCTTGATAAAGTTGTAGCAAATATATATTTTTTAAAACAACAACAACGCAACACAGATTATAAATAAAAAGAAGTCTTGCTTGAATGTTTATCTTTTCTCTATCAGTATACTTGGCCCATACTGGCCCTATGAAGTAATCCTCAAAGTTTCCATTTCTTTGTGAATTATTTCTTTGTTTCTAAATGCTAATAAAAGCAGGGGCTTTACAGCTACTCAGGGCTATTAGCCTGAGAGAACTTCTAGCCCTCTAGAATCACATTTTGCTTTGCTACTCTTCCTTCAGCTCCGCCCACAAGAAACAACATGTGGCACCAAACCTAGGACTGGAGAGGTAAGACTGGGGACCGCCTGAAACTGAATGTGCATCTGTCAAAAGGAATTTCCAGAGAAATGGGGAATATGGGGAATTCTCCATCCACAGAACAGCATACAGCTGTGTTACAGGGACTGTTAGAGGGATCTGGGGTAAAGATAGTTACTAAATCTTTCAAAAAAACTATTTAAGGCTATCAGAATACATTATTAGTTTCATCCCTCTGGCCAAAATAAATTGAATCTGAAAGTGTGGAAACAGGTCAGGAGAGCCCTCTGGAGGGCACATCAAATAGGAGACCCTAGTCCCATACATGTCTGGTCATTGTGCAATTTGCAACAAGGTTCCAGGCAACAGTATGGGTATCAGAGATAAGAGTAAGCTGATAATAATTTCTCTAAGCCACTGTCACCGCTCTGGAATTCAGGAAGGCTTACATCTCCTGTGGTGCCTCTTCCTCCTATAACTGAGGAAAAGAGGAATAAAAATCCTGATTTGTTAAGAGAAAAGGAAAGCTTCTTACAAATTTGGCAGATCGCTGAGAAAGTAGAAGAAAGATCTTTTTCGCAGTTGTTCCAGTATGTACAGAAACACTGTTACTGGTTCAAGTTGAATTCAAAGACTTGGCTAGACGTTATAAGAAATTTGCAAAAAGCACATCAAAGAAGAGAACAGATTCCTACTGCTTTTTGCCAGGTTAGGCTTTATCATAACATAAATTAATAATGTAAATAATTAGATAGAATTAATAATGATACTTTATAATTAATAATATGAATTTTTATACTATAGGTATAGTGATCATGTCTGCAAGACTGTACTAATGATTTAAAAAAATTGCAAAAAGAAATGGCTGAATCTGTAATGACTATGAATTAAGTGATATTACATTAAAAAAAGTAAAAGCTGAAGTAAAAAAATAGCCTTTGCCACCTTTAAAAAGAGCCTTGAACAGCTACAACACTGAATTTTTATTTTCTCTTAATTGGCATGTTTTAAACCAAACAGTGCTCTTCCAGGAAAATTATTTGCAATTTAAAACACAGTTTAGAAAAAAAAAGGAAAAATGCGATAAACTCAAAGCAGAGGTCTCTTAATGTTTGTGCTAATTGTTTGGTTTTTTGTCTAAGTTTGCTGTTATCTCCTTATTTGTTGTCTTTTTGTCTTATGTTTAACACAGCAATAGTTGTAAACTCATACA